CATTAGTACTGCAGATAGTCGCGCTTCAGATAACTCAATTCATCTAATGGTCTGTGTTTATACACCCGCTATCACAGATAACAGTCACTTAACCGTATGCTCATGTTACAACGGTTTGGTTTCCATCAGGTTCAGGCGTTCGTCGTACGCCATTTTCTTGACACAATTGTATACATAAATGCGGCTTCTATCTACGATCTACAAGATATTCTATAGGTTCACGGGCTGTGTTGTAAACCGTTCTTCTTTAATTATGGACCACTAACATCAGTGGATTATAGATCCTATGGATGATCCAACAACAGCTTGAAAGTTGTAATAATTAGTTGAAAATTTACGGAGGGCCCGTTGCGCATTCGGCATTCGGCTTTCAGACAGGATGAACCTCCATTGAAAAAATGTTGAAAATTGGTTCTCGTAGCTCGGGTGAACTGAATTCCATTTCGCCTGTTCGCCGAGCTTGGCAATTTGTTTGCAAACGTCTCATCACCAGCCGAGGTGACATCATCAGTGCTTGTGAAGTACAAGCACTTTCCTTCCGAAAGTATAAATATAATTCTGGACAAGTTGCAGAACCTCCCACAACAAACTGAATTCGAGAGAGTAATGACAATCTATTTTGATTATATGACCATTTATAAAAGAACAAGACCACGCGTAGGAACACACGTTAGTAGGCAATGCACGGTCGTTCAGTTGAACCTCATCAGCAATGCGAGACCGATCCGTAAGTGAGCTGACGAATTTGCGTTACCAACAAAGTTCAACATGCCCCTCTGGATGCCACTAAAACTTTTTCGTTTACATTTCTCTCGTCCTGACTATGACGTACTGCACTCAATTAAAATGGTTTATTGAGTTACACAAGTTCAACGGTAGAAGCGAAAGGAGTGACCATATATTTGGCTATGTGGCTTTAACATTTCGTTTCAACAATCCCGGTTTGAGCTTGATGTGACCTTTTGAGGATGATGAGGAGCATAATATGGTTTCCAGGGGATGTTTGTGCGTGAATGAATGAGCTAACTAGGTTTGCGATGAAAAAGAGACGCACTCTGCCCCTCGCCCCTCCTCCCCCCCCTCCGTCCGTCCCGGTACACAGAAAACACACAAATTTACAGACCAAACGGATTTAATAGTTTCTGAACAGGATCACGAACTTCGCCTGATTTAGCTAAATTTCCAATTTTGATCGATACAAAGTACGAACTTGTTATTCCCAGCTTGTCCATTTTGCTTGTCTCAACAATGTCCTCATAAGGTCAGGCAGATGACCTATCCACCGGAGAGGAGTGTCCGTTTTGCAGTGCCTG